TAAATTATCAACTATGACACAATATTTGCTGATTTGATTCACAAATAAACTAAAGAGAAATTCATTCAACTCAAAAAACTTAAGGTCGATCCCGGGTAAAGTCACTTTTTTTTCTGTATCTCTTCAAAATCCATTGAAAAATAATAAGAGAAAAAACAAACAAAAAAATCACTAAATATATTAGCAAAAGAACTAATTATTTTCTATTTTTCAGTTTTCAATTTTTGTAAAAGAACTAAAAACATTAACTTTTTTGACATTATGTGAAATTTTGAGCTACTGTTTTTGTATTTCAGCTTTATTTTTTCCAAATTTTTTGCTTTTCACTTGAAACCTTAAGCTTTTTTGACATTTTCACAGCCAACTTGATAAATGCTTCGCATCTCATCAATTTTTTAGTACAGAAAAATAAAAATCTTTCACTATTGTTAATTTTTGAAAACTTATTCCGTATGCAATTAATTATTTCTTCGATAGTGTTACAAAAACAGTTTTGTGTTTTAATTGAAAAGAAAAAATCCCCAATTTAAGTATATAATTTTTGGTAAATTTGATCGTATTGCAACGAACCGATCTGAATTTAAAGAATGTTCAATTTAAAAATATTGTTTTCCTCTTTTACATTTCGAATAATAATTGGAAAAATATCCGTTTCTTACAACACGCTACGAAACAAACAAAAATCCCCCAACAACAACAACAACATTCCACGAAAAAAAAGGTTATTAAATTAAGAAACAAAAACAATTTTTTCATCATAATCCTTGATCGCAAAAATTTCTCAAATAAAATTCACCTCATCGGTTATCAATCTTTTTTTCTCTCCCTCGAATCATCGTCTTTTTACAATTATTAGTAATGATAAAAGTTCGAAGTGTGCCGGATATGCAAAAATCGTTAAAGAAAGATTGATGAAGTGGTGGTTTTTGGGCTAATCGATATTAGAAAAATGTGGTGATGGTGGTGGTGGTCAGGGGAAGTCCCTCGGGGACGCGAGCGTGAGCTACGATAAATCAAAAGACTCACCGATGAACACGAATATCTGGTGATGCGAATAGCGCAGCAGCATGGACACGGACACCGTCTGAAAAACAACAAACCACAGATCAAAAACAAATCCCAAGGCCGTGACGGCGTTACTGGACACTGAGAAGCTTCTTTCTTTGTGGTGGAGGATGGATAAGACGCAAAGATTTTGCAAATTCCCTTTTTATACAAACACAAAGCATAAAAGAATTTTTCTGTTCAAAAATTTCAAATAAAATGGTAAAAAACAAGAGTCAACCCGAAAAACTTAAGTTCGATCCCGGATCAAGTCAACTTTTTTTTCTCTCTAACTTTTTAAAATTCAATTATAAAGAAAAATATAAACAAACAAATGACCAAATGTTAACAATAAACTCAAAAAATCTTTCGTCAAAATATAAATAAAGTAAAAGGAAATTCGTTTAACTCAAAAAACGTGAGTTCGATCCCGGGTAAAGTCACTTTTTTTTCTCTGTATCTTTGCAATAATTATTGAAAGTAAATGAAATAGAAAGGATTAAATGACTAAATAAGAACACAACTAATTACAAAGACAAAGATTTGTATTTTTGACTATTAAAAATCCATTTTTCTATCTTTGTTTGAAACTCAATAAAAAGTAGACAAATAAATTACTAAATATTAACAACAAACTAATTATAATGTCAAAAATCTTCATGGTACAATTTACGATATATTTTGAAAAATAATTTTGACTTTTTTTTATTTTGTAAAATCAAAAACAAATCCCAAGGCCGTGAAGGCATTACTGGACACTGAGAAGCTTCTTTCTTTGTGGAGGAGGATGGATAAGACGCAAGAATTTTGCAAATTCCCTTTTTATACAAACACAAAGCATAAAAGAATTTTTCTGTTCAAAAATTTCAAATAAAATATAAAAAACAAGAGTAATTATAGACTCAACCCGAAAAACTCGAGTTCGAGTCAACTTTTTTTCTCTCTAACTTTTTAAAATCCAATTATAAAGAAAAATATAAACAAAGAAATGACCAAATGTTAACAATAAACTCAAAAAATCTTTCGTCAAAATATAAATAAAGTAAAAGGAAATTCGTTTAACTCAAAAAACTCAAGTTCGATCCCGGATAAAATCAACTTTTTTTCTTTGTATCTGTTTGAAATTTACTAATACTGAGTAAAAGAAACAACCAAATAACCACTTATTAACAACAAACAATTATAATTTCATGAAATCCTTCATGAAAATTTAAATAAACTCAAAAAACTTGAGTTCGATCCCGGGTCAAGTCACTTTTTTTTTGCTAATCTTTGTTTGAGATTTAACAACAAACTAATTGTAATGTCAAAAATATTCATGGCACAATTTTTAATTTAATATTTTTTAAAAATTATAAACACCTAACAAAATTTTAATTTTTTTTATTTTGTAAATTCCGAAAAAATTATAATATTTTGACGAAGACATATGTAAAATGTTCCGGAAAATCGATTGACTGCAAAATTCGTAACAGTTTTGAAGTTACTGTCGTATTTATATTTTTCATATTTTTGACTTTATCAGACATTTTCTCGATAACTATTCATCGTAGAACACTGAACTTTTTAATATATGCTAGAAAATTGAATTTTCTATCCAACGGTAGCAAATATAAGAGGTTATCACCATTAAGTCCAGAGTTATTAGCAGTAGACCGCTCCGGGTACCAAAAATCGACCAAAATTTCGATAAAAATAAAAAATAAAAATCTACTTTAAAATTGATCTATTTAACGTTTTTTACATTTCTAGAGGTGCTAAAGACTCAAAAAAATGCATAAAACGTTATTGGTTCAAGTTTAAAAAATTACGATTTTCTTGAGTTTCTGAGTAGTAAAATCGTAAAAATAGTTAATTTACTTTAAGTCGTAAAAACACTTGAAATATGGTTTTCTAGACGTAAAATTATGCGCTGAACACGATTCATAATTTTTGAGATATTGAGTATTGAATTAAAAAATGTACAGAAACCCTTGAGAAATTCATTTAACCCAAAAAACGTAAGTTCGATTCCAGGTAAAGTCACTTTTTTTTTCCTATCTTTTCACAAAAATTATAATAAATGAAATCATTTTAAAAGAAGGAAATAAAAATACCAACAATAATATAATTAAGATTTACATAAATGTGCAATACTATGTATCAAAAAAAAAACATGAATTTACACAATTTCTAAAAAAAAAAATTTTAGTAAAATAGTCATCTCAAAAGTGCTCAAAGTTGCACATTAATGTAGCGGGTGCGTCAATTATCAAAACTATTAATTACTGATGAACATACGAGTTAATTACGTCTGGTTTTCCATCAAAAAACAATGATAATTAAAAAAAAATAAAACAAATACTATATTTCGCAAAATTAAATAAGCTAGGCATATTGGTTCAACTCGAAAAACTGAAGTTCGATCCTGGGTAAAGTCAACATTTTTTTTTTCTCTAACTTTTGAAAATTTAATAATGAAGAGAATAATAAACAAACAAATGACCAAATGTTAACAATAAACTCAAAAAATCTTTCGTCAAAATATAAATAAACTAAAAAGAAATTCATTTAACTCAAAAAACTTGAGTCACTTTTTTTTCTCTGTACCTTTGCAATAACTATTGAAATTGAATGCAACAAAGAGGATTAAATAACTTAATAAAAACACAACTAATTACAAAGACAACAATTTGTATTTTTGATTATTAAAAATCAATTTTTCGAATTTTTAAAGTCACTTAATTTCTCGTCAAAATTTAAATAAACGTCGATAATTATTATTCGGCAATCAATAATTAGAACAATTTAACGCAGCGAGTGCGTCAATTATCAAAACCATTAATTACTGATGAACAAACGAGTTAATTACATCTATTTATCCATTAAAAAAATGAATAAAACAAATACATATTTTCCAATTTGTGTTTTTATTGAATTAAATAATCTGCGCAAAAAAGCCCAACTCAAAAAACTCAAGTTCGATCCCGGATGAAATCAACTTTTTTTTCTCTGTATCTATTTGAAATTTACTAATAATGAGAAAAAGAAACAACCAAATAACCACTTATTAACAACAAACAATTATAATTTCAAAAATCCATCGTAACCATTAAAATAAACTCAAAAAACGTGAGTTCGATCCCGGGTAAAGTCACTTTTTTTTCTCCTGTATCTCTCCAATAACTATTGAAATTAAATAAAATAGAGAGGAATAAATGACTAAATAAAAATACAACTAATTAAAAAACAAAAATTCGTATTTTTCCGGAAAAATAACACAAAAAAATACGAATTTCATAGCTGTGTTGCACTTCCCTTTATAGATTTTCCGAGCAATTCCTTGTGCATTTGACGCTTTCGTCTCCAACCTCGTGATAGTGGGTGGTCACGTGTCATAGTCACCCGGATATGGCATGTGTCGTTTCCGGTCTACACCGGAAATACACCCTTCTAATTATAACTCTCTGATATTTCACCAAAAACATCTCAACTTACTTATGTGTTTTTTTATTGATTTTTTATTTCAAGAATTCAAAAAGTTTCAACATAACTGATCGGTAAAGTAACAGATTTTCGGGACGCCAGTTTTGTATATTATACTTCGACAAAGTCATTAAAAGTTGGACGAAAAGAAAAAAAAAGAAATTTATTTTTTCTCCTCCTCCTTCTCTGAGTTATTTGCAAATTAGATGAAAAAATCCAGTATGTGTTCGATTTTTGTAGCGTCTCGACGCGTCGTCGCCGCCTTCTCGAGTGTTAATCAGGCCGATCATATTTCGCAGAATATAAATCAGCGGTACACAAGTCGGGGGTTAACAGGCTCCCAGTGGCCTAGTATCACGTAATTATGTCACCTATCGTATGACATTGCGTCGCTCGTTACCGCCACCGCCGCCGCCACCGCCGCCGCCACCCCAACACGTGGGGGTGGCGACGACGGACCGCCCCCTTTCCAAATTATACGACTCGTTAAAGTAATTTATATGAAATTCTACACACGACGTTAATATGGCGCTACCATTCAGGAAAATCGGAAGCGAAAATCACGACCTTTGTTCCATCGAAAAGACAAAAATTACACACCTGACGATAAAAAAAACACATTTTTTTTTCACGTCATGAGATAATTAGGAACGAAAAAGTAAATTGAAACGTTGTATCAATTTTGACTTATTAAAAATTCGAGAAATACATTTTTAATACCTAATCAAAAATACAAGTTTTTGTCTTTTTTAGTTGTATTTTTATTTAGTCATTTATTCCTTCCTAATTTCATTTAATTTTAATAGTTATTGGAGAGATACAGAGAAAAAAAAGTGACTTTACCCGGGATCGAACCCACGTTTTTTGAGTTTATTTAAATT